ATTTTCAGATGAAATAGCTTTTAAACGTTTAGAAGTATAATAAAATATCGGTACAAGGGAGCACGTCCAGTTCATTACATGCATAAAGACAGATCAAAATTTTGTTTAGGCGGGTTTGTGCACAAGACAAGACTCCTATCAAAAATTTTACCTTCCTATTTTTATTTATGTTTTTTAGAACATTGTTAATTTTCAAAATTTTTTAAAAATTTGCTTATAGAATGATGAAGTATTGAATGAATGATTTTCTTGTTCATCTTCCTTTCATTATAATTATTATTTATCATTTAAATATTTGTATTCTTTTAAACAACAATAATATCTATTAATTATCTAAATTATCTAAATTATATCATATACGAATTTAACATATTCTAAAAAAACTTTTTACAAAGAAATAATTATAAATCAATAATCTGAAAGTATCTCAAAATTTTATTTTTCACACTATCAACAACACTGCCAACGATATTATTACAAATATTACTTACGATATTACCACTTTGTATATTGTATGCAATGTTCAACAATAAGTTTATCATCTATAAAAAGGAAAACAATATAAGTGCATTCATAAATAGAAATACTTGAAATGTTAGAAAAAGTCATCATCATTGTGAATTTAAAGAATCTGTTAATGTATATTAGAATAATTCCTATTGCATTAAAAGTAAAATAATTAAGATAAATTATATAGTACTGCAATAAATTTGTGAGCCGTAATTAATTCCAACCTATTATAACTCTATTAAAAACAATTATAACAGGCACACTACAGTGAATTCGTTTTTACCTTTTAGTTAATGCAATTTATTTAGTGGTACTTCTTGATTTGATTACCTGATTCGTCAAAATAGAGAATTATTTATTGTATTTTTTTAAAATTATTTTTATGATTTTAATGATTTTTTTTTTTATTAATGGATTAACGTAAAAGCTAAAAATTCCCGTTAATCTAATTACATATTATGAACTTTATAATTTTGGTTATAAATAGAGCATACATCGATAAGAAAAATAAAAAATAGTTACATTTTTCTTCTACGTCCCCCTCCCCCACTTTATATATTATTTTTTTTTGTATCATTAGAAAGAAATAAAGGAGTAATTGAAATTCTCAAACTCCTGTTATTCGAATATACTGTAAATTAAAACTAAAATAATTTTTTCGCCGATGCTAATGACCAATGTTTATTTTACATTAATTGATCCAATTAATTAGTTTAGCAAGCACAGGTCAAATACAAAAGATATGCCGTACCGAAAAGGGATTCCGATTTATAATATAGGATGCAATAGGACAGTCGATTGTTACCGATCTTTAGCTAATCTATAATATAGGAATTACCATTCGGTACAGCGATTCTTTTGTATTTGACTTATGAAGTTTACCTTGGAGGGGAGGAAAGTGGCATTTCACCTTTAAAAGTTTCAAGTTTTATTATTACAATAATAATAAAAATAATTTGCATTACTGTCATTTTATTACTTTATCATTTTTATTCAAGTCTATTTAAGAAGAACCTTAATACTTTCTATTTGCTTACTCATTTAAATAGTTATTAATTATAATTTACAGATTATTTTGTATTAATGTTAAATATTAACATTATTTATTATAATCTTCGTATAAATAATTTTATATTCAGGGAAAAATACTGTTTGATCAAAGAACGCTAAACAAAAGGATTATATCTTGGCTTGATTACAAATAAACGTAATTAAATTCACACAGTATATTATATAAAAAGTCTTCATGCTCATAGTATCTTGCAATGAGGTATGATGGTGCAGTAGCAATTTCTCAATGTGGAATTCTACCAAAAAACTAGATTTACTTAATTTTACAGCAGATAACTTATTGGATGCTTTCAATGTGATATAAAATTTTATTAATTTCTTTTTGGCAGTCATTACGTAATGGTTCGCTATATGCAATTATCTCCCATCACATATTTAAATAATGACAATGGTACTGACACCACACGGAAGCACTCATTTTATTAAAATGGTTAGAGAAAAAAAGAAGCCAAGGTATTTTATTTAATTTTATGAATTTAGCCAAATCAAAATAATGGATTAATTAATGGAAAGAATTAATAATTGTTCTTTGGTCCCCGATGATTATGAATATGAAATTTGCTCTTGTGTCCGGAAAAAGATATCGTCTTAGTATTATTAATGCTATATTTCTTAATAAAAAGTACTTTCGCGACATTTTTTCATCAAAATTTTACCTTTAGTGATTGAAGTTGAAGTAACTTATACTGTTGCTGCTATTCTAGTTAATGTTAGTATTCGATAATGGTAAAAACAAATCAAGAAATTTCAAATCAGCTTTATATCTCAGAATTTTATTATAACACACCAAAATCTTAAAACATAAAATAACGTTATAATTCATTATATTATTAAAAAGAATCGATAACTAAATATTGAATAACTTCATCTTTTAAGAATAGAATCTATTAGTAAATCTTATACCTTATTATTTCAAATATTAAAATATCTAAAGCTTTTTATACTGGATAATGAGAATCTTACTTTTAAAACTTGTCGAGATTGTTAAAAATATGCTCTAATTTAATAAAATCACTTAAATATTTACCCTATTTTTTATTATTTAATAGGCCGTATGCAATTACAATATATAATTCGTACCATCAATCATTATAAAACACAACTAGGCAGTCTTTTTTTTAGTATCTGGTTGAGGTCGGTATAACATTTTTTTTTTGTTGTACTTCGATTAAATATTAGCCAAAAAAAGATAAAGGTGTGTGTAAATTTGTATTTTATTAAAAATAAATTATAAATAAATTTAAGAGGTGAGATATTTCTATGTTATCCCAAGCGGTGAATCGGCTAAGGGTAACATATGCTTGTCCTGAAGAAAAAATATCTTCATCTAATGAAAAAATACCCCGAGTAAAGTTAAACTCGTGTTTTTATGAATCATTAAGGCAAAACAGGTTCCATTAGTTTTGAAATAGTGGGTTTGTTTTGTGATACTTAAATTAAATTATAGATTTCTAACAGAAAATGCAACTTGAATTAATTGTATATGTCTGTTATGGTACCATTGCATAACCTATGTTCAATAAGTGAATTGTTAAGATACATGGCTTACGCATCTGATTGTGATTGTAATCAAACATTGGATGACAGATTGGTTTCGTTTTAAACATTTTATTTACAAATGAAATATGGCACCTATAATAGCAGGAAAATAAATATCAACGGATGGATAAAAATTTTGGGAAAATAAACAAAATATTTTTTATATGTACTCGATTTAATTAATTATTAACATTAATAATAAATAGATTAGGGCTTTTTTGAGAAAAATCGCTCCTTTTTGGAAAAAAGGAAAATGATATTGGATTTTTTGAAAATGCCAATTTTAAATAAATAATAAATAAAAAAAAAAATTAAAGGGTCCATAATCATGATCAATGTGTTCCTTTGTTGATCATATCATAAAATTTTTTTAAATTCAAAATTATGAGTGTGTAACATTAAAGATAAGAATGAATTACATATCATACAAAAAGGATGGACCTATCTCATTAAAATTGAGAGGATTATAAGTGGGTAAAATGAAAAAATTTAAAACGACAAATGTTTGATGAATGCAGATTCGTAAATGTGATGATTGAATTTTTGATTTGTCACATATCAATGTGTAACTACATCTTATGACTTATTATGTAAAATCTCATGCTAACTATAAAGTGTTAAAAAATATTTATCAATTTGTTGTAATAATTGTATTGAGATTACTAATCCTTGATTATGTAATTGTGCAAGTGATAAACTTATTTTTTAAGTAAAATTTTTTAAATTATATAATAAAGAATATTCGTATTATAATAGTTACAATTTAAAAATAGTTAAACAATAAAAATTGTCTTTTAATGAAAAATAAGAAAAAAATAAACATTGTGCAAATGGCAAATTAATTTTTTTTATGTAATCTTCTTTTGGTAAAAAAAAAATCAATTATTTTTGTAATATTGTCCATCAATCAAATAAGTAATACAAAAGAGAAATCAGGTAAACGATATTAATCCCCAAGAAAGAAATCAAATAAGAATATAATAAAATACAAAAGAATCTACCTTATTTATCTAAAATTGAACCCAAAATTTACTATTAAAAATATTATTAATTAAAAACTCAAGCTAAAACGTCCCTGATCACGCAATAATAGTCTATTTAAATCAAGGCAATCTTCATATGGGGAATCTAATCACGATTATCCAGATTTTTGGTTGTAGCAGAGATCTGTAAAGATAAAGATGTAGAACTTTATTATATTAGCTACCTTTCCGACCTCTAAGTGAAGGTGTTTAGCACAATATTTTACGTACACTCATTAAGTAAATTAAGGCACTTCGTCCGTTTAAACAAACGAATAAAAAACTGTCTAACCAATTGTCCTACTGCCTTACCAATTGATTTACCCTCCAACCTGTGACAACTTATTTTATTTCCTCTTTCTAATGCTCAATATAGTTATTTCATTCTATTTTTTTGTTATTTTTCTTTAGTTTAGTACTTAAGAAGAACTTTAATTAATAGACAAAGATGTGAGCAACGATTGTTGGACTTGTGTAATCTGTCATTTTTAATTCTTAAAATACCAGTTACAGTATTATCTGTCACAAATAAAATACTCCATATGGTATCGTTGTTTTTTTAACTAGTAAGCCAAAAAAATAATTCACACATTCACGTATTGCATAAATTTCTTCCCCTGATTTGCTGGTCATCATTTTGAGCTTGTGATATTAAATTATTTAGTTAATTGAAAAATGCATAAGAATAAAAAAATTTGTGTAATATAGAGCAACATAAAAATATAAACTGTAATTTTCAATTTATAGAAATGTTTTTTTTTAGACTTTATTAGGAGAAATCTACCACTTATATGGATCCGACGAATTGTTATTGTTATATTATTAGGCCTTCTAATTACTTTCTCTGTAATATTGTTTATGAGAGTGCTTAAAGAAGAGCCTGGTATCAAAATACTTTATGAAACAACGGAACTTATACCTGTCCCAGTTAAAAATAATTTTTTTGATTTAAATACTGAAAACGAATGACATGTTTTTTTAATATAAAAATCATAATCAATATAGATATCTATTTTACTTATAATAAAAAGTTTAATATAACTTGTGAATATTATGGTAGGGAGCTTTAATTATTTCATAAATTGATTTATTATTTTGTTTTAAATATCTATTTAATCTAAATGTTTCAAAAGGTGGAAATTGCTCTTCTTATTTTACCGAAGAACACGATGCTCCGGAAAGCTATGGCTATGATCCTGCATTTATACCATCGGGACAAGTAAAAATCAACACTTCCGAATCAGAAGATATATTTTTTACGATACATATCAATGATGACACATATAATCATTTAAATCAAAGTTCTCCTATGAGGATACATGCATTTGATTCAGGTATTTTTTATGAAATTGAATATTTTTTATCTTTATATCTTTAATATTTTGTATCTTTGATATAATAATATGAAATGACATTAATAAATAGATTATCCGTATCAAAATCAAAATACACCTATGTTTATTGAATCAATTGAGACGGAAAATAGATATTATTTAGCACAATCTAATGGTACGAATGTATGTATATTTAGTTAAATCATCATTCTTGAATGAAAATATTTGTGCGTGTTAATAAAATACTATTAAAAAATCCCATAGGTATTTTATTTTGAGTTCTATAGGCTAAGAAGAGAAGAATTGGATACCTCATTTTCTACCCTTCTCGGTTTCAACCCAAAATATGAAACATACAATTACATCGGATCTGATATGCGTATGATATTTTTTTTTTTTATAACATTTTTTTAATACTTATTTTGTTTATGCCGTAACTACAGAGATGATTGAATATGGGGGATCAAGTAATATTTACGCAAAGGTGACAATTGGACTAAAAACTTCTGTTTTAGAAATAGAAAAAGAACAACGGTAAAAGGCTTCCTCAAGTGACGTGAATCCAATTGGTTAATATCTTGTTATATATTGCTAACATATTTTGTTAATAAATTTGGATGCACAATAATAATAGGGCTCGTACCGTAAACAACATTAATTTAAATTGTTTTTGTAAATTTATTATATACAACTAGTGATTATTAATTTTAGATAAATAGATCTTAGAGGTGTTCGCAAATATTGCTGCTCTTTACGGAATAACTTTTAGTACTTATGTACTCTTATTTGGTAGGTTGGATTTTTTTTTAATAAAAAAAATAAAATAATTGTATTGTATTTATAATTGACTTACTCATTTTTTAGGAGTAAGAGTAAGCAAACCACTTCTAGATAAATGTATGGCTGCTGACAATCCTTCCGACGATTGATGACATGACACTATAAGAAAGAAAAAAATTATAGCTTTATTCAATATAAATGCTAATAATATAAAATAATAATTCGATAACAGTGATAATTATAACTTTGTTCAAATGAACCATACATTCATTTAGGTATTCCGGGTTATTATATATTGACAAATTCTAAATAAATTTGTTCTTTGCGAGTTACTAAAATTATACTAAAATTATAATCAGTCCTTTAAATATTACTATAGATTGCGTCCATTAACTCGATTTAGTCAATTTATAAAATATAAAATATATTCATCCATCGTAAAGAAATGATCGTTACTCGGACTTTTGAATTTATACACTTTTACGAAAATTTTAAGTACTTTTTTTTTTTAAAAAAATATGCTCACATCTATCATTAATAAATTATTATCTCCACAGAATAAGTGATACATCCATTAAAAGATTTTTAATAATTGTTATTTTCTTAATTTTTATCAAATTAATAAAAAATTAATTACAGATAATACTAATTCAAAATTAATTATTTCTCTCAAATTTACTAACAAAAATTAATTTATCAAATTGAAATAAGTAATTATTTTATTATTTATTCTTCTAAAAGATTACGGAATTTAAATTTTTTTAAATTTATGGTGCAAGTTTTATAAGCCAGCGAAAGTTGATACATATTCCATCTTAAATTTAACTTTATTTTTTAGTATTATAATTCGAAAAGAAATTCATTATTATCTTGAAATTTACAAAGAAAAATTATTAAACGTTTTTTTCAAATAAAGAAAATGTATTTTATGCAAATGAGTTATTAAAAAGCGGAAATCATTTCCTTTATCAATTTTATAAAAAAAACGAAATGGTGATCGTCAAAGGAAAATACCGCTGACCATCAGCTTCCACTTTGTGGACGTCGATGGGTCAATCGGTGCTTGGCTTTTACAAAGTTTTGTATTAAGTCTAGGCAGATTTTAGGTAGAAATATATGTAATATTCTATTATTATTAATAATAGTGTGGAAAAATTTTTTGGAATCACTGATCTGTAATTATTTCCTTGTAAAAAATTTTTGGAATATGAAATTCATGTAATTTAATAGATTTTATTGTTAAAAAATATAAATAAATATATAATAAGTAATGTAATGAATTGTGAACAACTACTCCACAGATAAAAGAAAATACAGATATAATTTACGCATTTCAAGCGGTACTAACAAACTACAGGAATTCCTTTTAATTGAAATACTATATTGCTTGAACAGATCCACTAAAAATACTACTTACGATCATCTATGAGAAAGGTGTGGATAATATAAGTACATTCATAATTAGAAATTGTGAATTTAAAGAATCCATTAATATATATTAGAATAATTCCTATTGCACTAAAAGTAAAATAATTAAGCTAAATTTTATAGTAATGTATTAAATTTATGAACCGGTGAACTCGATTTTTTCTTCTATTTAATGCGAATTTTAGTATAGTTGCAGGATACTCTTGGTTTGATCACTTGATTCATTCAAAAGAGAGAATTATATATTTTATTTTTTTAAAATAATTTTCATTTAACTGAAGTGCCTAGTATTAAAAGTAACTTACGATACAAACACGAAATCTTAACCTATACCAAGTAAAATAATTTGATTTTAAAACTGAAAACGAATGACATGTTTTTTTTATATTGAAATCATAATCAATATAGATTTCTATTTTACTTTTAATAAAAAGTTTAATATAAGTTGTAAATATATTGTTGTAAGAAGCTTTAATTATTTCATAAATTGATTTTATTATTCTATTCTATATATCTATCAAATTCAAAATGTTTCAAAAGGTGAACATTTCTCTTCTTATTTTACCGAAAAACACAATGTTCCAAAAAGCTATGGCCATGATCTTACATTTTACCAAAGGGACAAATAAAAATGAATACTTCTGAAGCGAAAGATATACTTTTTACTATACATATCAATGATGACACATATAATCATTTAAATCAAAGTCCTCCTATGAGGATAAATGCATTTCGTTCAGGTATTTTTTATGAAATTAGAAATTTGTACTTTAATAAAATTAACAACGTAACAATAAATAAATAAATTATCCGTACTAAATAAAAATCTACCTAAATGTATTGATTCAATTAAGACGGGAAATGAATATTATTCCTCAAAATCTTCAGATACAAATGTACAGTATGTGTATTTAATTTAAATCATTATTCTCGAATGGAATATACATATTTATGTACAGTATGTTATTAAAAAATGCTATTAAAGATTCAATAGGTAGGTATATATATTTTTGAGTTCTACAGGCTAAGAAGAGAAGAATTGGATAGTTCACTCCTTAACTTACTCGGTTTCAACCCAAAATATGAAACATATAATTACATTGGAACTGAAAAGTGTATGATGATTTATTGTTAATAAATATTAATACGTATTTTTTTTTAGTACTAATGCTTTTTATGCCGTAACTACAGAAACTCCCCAATTTAAAGGATAAACAGATTTTTACGCATTTGTATACATTGGACTAAAGACTAATATTATAGAAATAGAAATAGAAAGAGAACAAAGGTAACAATAATGACTTACCTTATTTAAAAATTTTCCTTTTTTTAGAAATTGCTTATTGATTGACATGAGATCGCGATTTATCGATACAAATGATCGATCGAAGATGAGATGTGTGCAACCAAAAAGAATAAAAATTAAAGATAGGCTGTGTTGTTTGTAACTTGGTTGTATTACTTATTTGGGGATGTTTCACTGATCGTTGTATGTATTACGGTTTTTTTTTTTTTGTGATATTAAGATATCACACAAGAAATCTGGTGACATTTAAGGTTGATGAGGTCCAAGTGCTGACATTATTTTATGCAATACAAATATATCCAGCACATAAATTCTAACGTTTTATCAATTTTAAAGACATTTTTAGCTACATTTTTTAAGTCAATTTAACTTAATTTGGAATCATTGTTTTATAAATTAATCTATGTAAGAATTGATCTTCAACAAGGAGATAATTCTTAACTAAAATTTATTTATTATTTTTTTTTTTTTTACAATTTATACGAATCAATTTCATTTCTAAAGTTAAAAGTCAAAAATTTTTTCAAAAAAAATATAATGAATTAATATATTTTAAAATATAATTGCTTACAAAGAACAAACAATTTGACAATAAGGTGAATAAGTATAAACAAAATTCGATATAATAAAAATAACGGATAAATATTTCTTAAAAATTAAATTTTTTAGATAGTTTTTCCTATCGACTTTGAAAACTTCTTAATCAATAATTGAAAATTTTTCATCTGTTCTAATTTGTTTTTCATATCTATTGCAATTATTAGAAGACCGATTATTATCTATAGTTATAGTAAAATCAGATTGATTACTCTTCAAATAAAGATGACCTGCTCCAAAATTAGGACCTCCTAAATTTTGATTACTTTTTTCATAATAATGAAGTTCATATTCAGGTTTCTTTACTCTACTAAGAATTGAACTTTGAATATCATCATTTTTCAATGAGAGTAAAACTATCCCTCGTGTGCATATGAACATTATTCTTTGTATCATCCCACATTAAGGGATTATAAACACCTAGAATTTCGCATGTTCCTTTATCTTTTATAATAACCACTGTACTAACGTGACCATTGCACATGTTCCGAATGTTAGAGGAGCAAATCCATCTTTGCTTCCTCGTAAAATCAACCTAAATTCATATGGATAATTTGTCAAAGAATAGGTAGTAGTTTTACGATCAATCCAGGATAAAATTTCAGCTGCATGTGCATTCGAGATAATAGTTGAAAAAGGTTCTTTAGAATGGAAAGGCAAATCTTGAATTAAGATTGATCTTGCTGGCAACATAACTGATTTAACTGTCCTGTTGAGAGATATTAAATGTTATTTTAAATCTTTCTAAAGTTGTTTGTCAAGAATTTTTTTGTAAGGTCCTACTTTGTCTAAAATGTAATCACCAGAGATATGGAAATATCTAATAAATGTTGGAGAGTGGTTTTTAAAGTTAAAAAGTTCTCCATGGTCCATTCATCGAGGGTTGAAGGCAAATTAGAATTCTGAGAAATTCCGCATTTGATAGTATATTCACACATTTTTTGCTCCTTCTACTTGTAAATCATCTCGTTTGACACACTAATGCAGATTCTTGAAGAGATGTAAAACCTTCAGCATCAAAAATAAGACTAGGTTACTTTATAACAATATCATTGCAAAAATTTTCTAAATCTTTAAAGTTATTATTATTAAAAATTGAATGATATACGAAAGAAAAATGTGTTTTTAACCAGGAAGCTTTGTCTTTGATGAGAATAGTTTCTAATTTCTTGGACAATTCTTCAAGTTCAAATTTTGTTTCGATATTCTCTAAATTAACAATATACCATAAATATATCTATATAATCAATATAAATAAATAATAATGAATTTTAATTTTAAATAATTGGAATATAAGAATAATATCAAAAATTTGTGCAAAATGTCCGGTTTAATAATATTTTCATTTGGAACGGAAATATGACGACCGACATTTTAATACTTGGAGTGTGCAGTAAATTTTTTTTTTTATTTTCAGAAAAAGTTTTGAGATAACTTGTCAAAAAATTTCAGACATTTCTTTTTTTAAATTGTATAAAAAAGCAAGTTTCTTGTTACACAAAATTAAAAATAGAAGATGAGAAATTAATCACGTGTTTAAGTAGATTATCTCACCTAACCACAAGAGAAATAATGAAAACAGGAGGCAAACAATAATAACATCATCACTATTGATTGGTTTAATATTAGGAGTAATAGTTACCGTTTCAACAAATTCAATATTAAATTGGATCAAATCGAAATATGTAGATAATAAAAAAAGGGTCCAAGTTTCGTTAAAAGTACGGAAATAACGGACAGTATAGTGTGATTAATAGGAAATACTCCATTAATGCGATCAAGAGTTTGAGCGAAGCAACTGGTTGCGAAATATTGGTATTTCAAAATTAGGAAAAGTCTCGTTGTAGATTTCTCATAAACTTTATTATTAACTCTCTCCCTTTTATTAATGATATGTTTATCGAATTTTATAATAGGGAAAAGCAGAGGTAATAGGTTGTGATTATGTTATTTTGCGTTGTATTTGTTCTTGTGGTAATTTAGAAAAACAATAATTAATATAATAAACATCATAAATAAATAATTAATTAAGTATAATAGTTTTTAAATCCGGGTGGTAGTCCTAAAGATTGAGTAGCTCTCAATATAATTAATAAAGCAGAAGAAAAAGGATTAAAAAAACCAAATACTGGATGTACAATATTTGAAAAGACAACCGGATCCACTGGAATATCAATAGCAATGGTATCTCGAGCTAAAGGATATAATGCATGGATCGTCGTTCCTGATGATCAAGCTGAAGAGAAATATCAATTATTAGAAAAATTAGGCGCCACAGTAGAGAAAGTGCGACCGGTCGGAATTGTTGATAAAAGACAATATGTTAATTTAGCTCAAAGTCGTGCACAAGAATTTGGAAAAATTAAGAAAAAAAAAAGCTTTGAGAATAATGAAGATAAGCAAGGAGATAATAATGATGATAACAATAATAATAGTGATGATAATAATGATGATAATAATAACAATAAAGGATCAGGATATTTTGCAGACCAATTTGAAAATTGGCAAATTTCGAAGCACATTATAAAGGAACCGGACCTGAAATTTTTCAACAAACCAATGGAAAAATTGATGCATTTATAGCGGGAGCAGGTATAAATCCATATTATATAAAAAATTTGTGTTTTATTCAATTTTATTAGATATTTTATTAATAACATGTACCGGAGGAACTATTGCAGGAATATCTCGCTATCTTAAGCTAAATCTTAAAATTTATCTAGTTGATCCACCAGGTTTCGGATCATATAATAAAGCGAAATATAATATTATGTATTTATCGTATGAAAAGAAGGAAAAAAAGCGTCGATATCAAGTAGATACTGTAGTGGAAGGAGTAGGATTAAATCGAATTACATATGTCACAGGGGTTTATAGATGATGCGATTAATGTTACAGATGAAGAAGCAGTAACTATGGCACAATATTTAGTTCGAGAGAGGAAGGTCTTTTCCTGGAAAGTTCATCAGCTATAAATTGTGTTGGATGTGTACGAGTTGCTAGACAATTAGGACCGGGACATCGTATAGTGATGATGTTGAATGATTCTGGTCAAAGGATAAACAATTTACACATTAAATAATAAAAGTTAGAAATGTAATAATTATTAATAATCATTAAATTCTTTTTTTTTTTTGATTTTAGAATTTGACAAAATTTCGGTTTGTATTAATAATAATAAAATTAAACCATCGTTTATATTTCTAAGTTTTTAATAATAATAATAATTTTATTATTTTTATTATGTAAAAAGAATAATAAATATCTGAAGCGCATAACATTATACCTAAAGAAGTAGGAGGATTGAGTTTTATTGAATAAGTATGGATAATATAGATTTATTATTATTTTTTAAATAAATAAGATTTATATAAGTTGGATTAAATTATTGATATTCACACTTGGAAAATTTCATTTGGGAATTTCACTTTGTGAATTACATTTGAACTAATAGTTCGCAAAGTGAATAAATTGATGGTAATTTTTCTAAATGGATTTTATATATAAATGAAATATTGAAAGATCGATTTGCTTGTTTATCTTCCTTTCATTATAGCATTCTTTACATTAAATATTATATACTTATTTAAATAATATAATTAGGGACGTAAAAGTCCTGAATTGATCTGGCCTGGTTTTGTACTACCTGGTCCTAGAGCAAAGATAGACTGGACTTGGTCCTATAAGACTGGTCCTAGGGCCAGTTCAGGACCTGGTTTTTATATAGAATCTCACCAGTAGTGATTGTCATCGCTGGGCAAAATTAAATTTACTTGGAAAAACATAGGGTTAGGACTCAAGCTCGAAATACCTCTATCAAAACTGATCAAAACCTTTCTTTAGAAGGAAATAGCCTTAATGTTACAGACCCAACTAATAAGAATCTTATATATAGTATTGAGAGAACAACACTTTTTTCCAAGTATTATTTACATTGAAGTCATTAGAATTGTTTTCTAGGAGATGATTTGTCCTACTACTCTCCTGATGATAAATATAGTAACTTTGAAGAATCTAAGGCATTAACAATTAAGCACAGCATCCATATTGTATCTAATCGATTTTAAATTTAATAACATGTTTTGAAAAAATTACTAAACTAATTGTTCACATTTCATTTCAACATTAAGTTTCTCTCAAGAAATATTATGAAAATACCCATAAATTTCCTGACCCTAAGTACATGTTCAATCTCAAGGCGAGGGGACTCACTACTTCTGAAAAATTTGTTTCATGGTGGGATCAAGAACCATCTAAATTTTCAGATCACAGTTGATGCAATCAAGAGATGGAACTATCATGAAGATGAAGATCCTTCCTGCTATAATATCCATTGGGGAGAATATGAAGATGAAAGTGTAACATAACAGATACAAAATTCTTTAATGAAGCAATTTGAGTGATGATTATGTTAAATTATTATTTGATTAGATTATAAGCCATATGAAACCAATTCTGAAATAGGTCATACTATGATTACATTTATTTATTACTTATTAATATAAATTATTATATATTTAATTACATGTATTTCTATAAAATGGTATAAGCTTTTAATAAAGGACATTAGTCTTTCAACTAGCAAATTATTTAATATAATTATAAACTGTTGGCTTTTTGTGAAGTGTTAATATTTATCAAGTATTATTTATTTGACTTTATTTATATTTAAACTATTACTTACTAGTTCAGAATTCTCACTACCTTTGCCATTGACTAAATAAGAGTTACCTGACTTTTACATTTGATAACAGCAGATATTTCTTTTACTTACTTTATCTAATCCATCTCTTTGATATTTTGTACTATGTCACATGAAATAACTCTATATTATTTATATTATACTTTTGCCTTCTAATATTTACTGGTCAAAATCTGACACATCGGACCTCTATCATAGTACCTGATAAGTATCTAAAATACCTTTTTTCTAAACTCATTGGATACTCAATAAGTATAGTAGTTGTCTCCAATATTGAACACTTATTGCAGACTTATTAGTTATATATATTATGCATATTGGGTACTTGTTTTCAGCTATTTTTTTATATCAACAGGGTACTCAATTTTTTGTTCACTATTGGAAACCTATTGATAATATATTTTCCTTCAGATAGATATTGTCATATGCCCAATGTAACAATGTTCTGAAAAATAAAGAATCTTATCTAACAAAAACTAATAAAAGGTTACGTAATTATGCTATTTCCAATGATCCTACTTAAGGAAATAATAAAACCAGTTCTTTTAAAAAATCTAGTAAGTAAATTCTATATCTGGTTTTTAAATTTTCAAAAATTAATGAAACTTTAAAAAAATAAAATAAAATTAAAAATAATGAAATTTTTGAATATGAATTTGACTTTTCCAAAAGGCTAGAAGAAGCTTCCAAAAGACTAGCAGCTTTCAAAAAATTATCAGTTCCCAAAGGCTAGTAGCTTCCAGAAGAAATAAAAGAATTACTGAAACTGAAACCTTGCAAATAAAAAATAAAAAAATAAGATCCATAAGAAAAGATGAAGAAAATGATGATAATGATGAAGCTGACAAAAGTGATAAAGTTAATGAAGATGACAAAGCTGACGAAAGTGACAAAGTTGATGAAGCTAACAAAGGTGACAAATATTATAATAAAATAATAAATTTTGATAAAAGTAAGAACGAATAATAAAAAATTAATTTTTAAATATTTATATATTTCAAAAATTTTTGTAAATATTGAAATTAATATAAATAAAATAATAGTAATATTTGAATATCACAATAAAATAATAATTATTAATAAATTATAAAATGTAGAAAATTGCTTACATATAAATGTAAATTTATAAATTTAATAAAAAAGTTATGAAAATATTGTGAAATATTATAAAATTTTGTAAAATTTTATAAAATTTTTTGTGCAAACCTTCAAAGGTGTTAGAAATTTGTGAAAATTTCCATAATTTTTTGTCTATTAAAATTTTCTAATATAAACATATTAGTGTCTAAAAGTATCTTATATCAGAAAATTTTAAAAGGCAAAAATTTCTATATAAAATTTGTGAAAATTTTTATTTAAAAAATTTTTGGTCAAATAAAAAAGTTTTTATTATGTAATACAATGATCTTGTTTATTTACTACTAAATGATTATACACTAAATGATCTTGTTTTGAATTCTTTCAAAAATTATTATTCATAAAATTTTAGAACAAAAATTTTTGGAAATTTTCAAAAACTATTTATTTCTCAAGTAAGTATGTTGATTTTTAATAAGATTGGATTAATAAATCTTCATTTGATGTTGTGTTTTTAGGTCATCCAAGATTTTAACAAAACTTCTTGAGTTCCTTTGGTTGTGTTAAATTAATAGATTAGATTAGAGTTTCTATAAGAAAATTCTTGACATTCTCTTTCTTGATTAACACAACTCTTATACTATAATGTTTTACTTTTTTTGTAGTTTTTTACTGTGTAACAGATATTAGTTTAGCAGGTTATGTTCACAACTTTGCTGTTCTTTACCTTTTCTGTATTTTTGAAAGTTTCAGATAATTGTTTAGCAGGTTATTCATAACCTTGTTGTCTAGAAGTAAGATACTTTTAGACATTAATATGCTTACTTAGAAACAGTGCACAGGGATTGAATCAGTTTATTCAATACTGTTTCTAACATCTTTTTTCTTAGTATTAATTTAGAATTTTTCAAAGATTTTTGATGAATTTTATTTTCTATTTTTTTTCAAATATTAAATTTAGATTAGCTCTTTAGTTTTTTTAATCACTTTTAAATTAATTATTATTTTTCACAATATTTCATAAAATCTTTATTATGTAAAAAATATAATAAACTAAATGTTTTTTATTATGTAAAAATATAGTAACTAATAAATGTTTGTAATGTTCAAAATATATATAATAACTAATAAATGTTCATAATGTTTAAAAATATAATATATATATCATAATATTCAAAAATATATTTATAAATAATCTAAAAAATATAATATACTAATAAATGTTTATAATGTTCAAAATTATAATAAAAATATACACCAACCTGCCAAAAGTATCCGGGCAACAATTTTTTTGTCAAATTTTTAAAAAATTTTAAGGATGAATTAT